ATGAGTTCTCTGGGGCAAGATTATCTGCAGGTCGCACAGAAAACAACAGGCATAACATATGAACTGGGCAGAGATATACTAGTAAAATGAGGGAACAAAAGAATATAGTTGATCAGGAAAGCAGAAGTCCTGTTTGGACATGAGTGATTTGCTGACATCAGAGAAGGTTCCAAAGATGAATTTAAAAGAGGAAACAGTGGCAAAGCTTTATAAATGGTGACACTGAGAATTTGCCATGCATCACAAGAACAGAAGTGCCAGAGTCCATTTAATTTAATTTAATGAGAATTAAATCCTGTCATGTGTGCAAGTGCCCCAGTAGACCAACAGGCAGTCTAAGTTGCTGTGATGGGTAGAGGGTTCTTGCTAGGTTACAAAATGATGAAATACTGGACGGTGCTAATAGCAGCCAGAGGAATCTCAGAACCCAAAACAATCACGGACCTCAATGAAACCAAGGATGGTACAACAGCTCTTCTTCATTTTCAAGATGGAAGGAACAGTCAAGTCCCTTTACATGGTAAAGACAGCTGTGCTCAAAGCAGTAGTTTCTCAGTTGCCACCCGGCAAACCACCAGTGTGTCACTAGGTCAGAAGAACCACCAGGATCACAAAGATTCTTCACAAACGCTGAATTCAGTTTCACATGTGCAATGACAACGCCCTCCGACCGTCCTCAGCTTAACCCAGGGGTTGGTAGCCTATGGCCCGTGGGATGCAGTTCACAAAGCCATTTAACCCCTGGACATAAGGGCTTTGGCAGCAGTTGTTCGCCACTTGTTGCCACAGGGAAAAGCATCAGCAGCCTCTTCTGGTCCAAACTGTGTCAAAATCAATCCAGCGCATAGCCTTAAAAGGTTGCTGACTGCTGGCGTAGCCTGCTTCACTGCTGATTTAAATGCATAACTGAGCGAATAACTGGTAAAAGCTAGGGCAGGGCAGGGCTGCACCTTAGAGGAAATGGACAACTCCTAGCATCTCACAAGGTAGCTGTTCCCCAGGAAAACTCATGCCTCTCAGAACCAGTTAGTCCCAGGTGCCACCCTGCTCAATTTCAGACTAACATGACTAATCAACTACCTATTTTTAGTCACTTATTTGAAAACATCACTGGCCATCTACATGCAACTCAGGCTCTAACTGCAGACTTCACCTGAGTCCAGACACCTCACTTAGCTAAGCAGGGCATGGGCATCCACACTGCTAAGGTATTCCCATGTCATATCCACTTCGGCATGTTCACACTGGTACTGCCCTAACATGGGGTAGACACTAAGATTGCTAGAAGGCTGCCCCTTTGTTCTTAGCATTGCACCAACTTGTGCTGCTCTACTAACCGTTTTACAGCGAATTTTTGGCCAACTTGTCTGCTTTTCCATGGGTCTATGTGAAAAGACCCTCAGCCTAAAAACTCAGTTAACACAAGTAATTCTGCATGCTTCTCATGTTTTTCAACAGTTACTGTTCCAGCTGTTGCCAAAGCATGGATACAGCACAGAATCACAACCTGTTCCAGCCATCTGCATTAAAGCAACATCCATTTCTGCACCTGAAAGCAGGCAGAAGGCATGACACATTTCAGTAGTAGCTTTTCACCCTGAGAAGGCAAAGGTATGCCTCAATGAGGAGGTCATGCCAGCAGCATAGACAGAAAAACAGATTAAATACCACTTAGTAAGTGGTAAGTGACTGAGCACAGGCAGATGAAACATTTATGGCAGTGTAATCAGTGTTACACAAGCGTGAAAAAAATTACAACAGACAGATGACAAGCTCCTAAAACAGAAGAGCCATCCAACCCAGTGAGCGTTTACCTAAGAATCAATGTAAATATCACCACGTTGGGTTTCATCTACCCAAGTGCCTCACAGGATAGCCATCTGCCACAAGCCAGCAGGCCCGTGCTTGCTCCCCCATACAGTGCCAAGGCACAGCTACAGCCACCTACTCTGTAAACTATTCCAAAACAGCTGCCCCCCTGGCCATTCCCAGTTCCAGTGAAATTTATGATCAGCATTCAGAACTAATGAAATTACATCAGGGTATATATTCTTCTCTGTCCTTGCTTTTGCAGTACTCAAAAAGGGAGGCCTGGGTTCAAAACTCACATGCACCCCAGGAAAAACAATGTGCATGGGGGCAGGAAGTTACAACCTAGGTTGGATCTCCTTGATATAAGACAGGAAGAAACCAACTTCCCAAAGCTGTGTGGCTCTAACTGCAGTAGTAAAAGCCAACTTTTAAGAGAAATAAGGAAGCAAACTGCCCATCTCTGCTCTCAAAGGACACGCACACTTCACAACAGATTTTTTCCAACCCCAGTTTGCTTCCTCTGTTCCAAGCAAGTTAACCACTCTGGATCTTCTATTTAAAAAAATAACTTCAAAAGACACTCAATGAATGAAACATACTGATTATGGAAGCTGATTCGATTTCCAAATCAGAAGCGTTTGTAGCGTTTAACTAGAAACTCGCCTGTAGTTTTTGCAATGTTTAACTAGAAATTCTTCTGCTCCCCACAAGGAACACGTACATCTCAAGATGATTTCCAGCAAAGGCAAGTGATGCATTAAAAAACCAGAACTGACCTGGGGGATTAAGGCACTGGAGAGCCTCTGTGTGTTCCAGGGCCTGCAAGAATTCCACCAACTCCAGCACAGTGCAGCCCCTTTCACCCATTAGTCTCAGAAGACTCCAGCTCGGGCTTCCTTCTGGCTCCAGGACTTTGAGAGAGCATTGTTCCAAATCCAGACAACTGCAAGCGTGAAAAAGAAACCAATTATATAAAGGGTCTTCTCAATGTACATTTCTAATCCTCTTTAAGAACTGGATTATAACCAACTGGGAAATCCTTTATGTCTTCTGGAAGCATGCTGAGCAGGGGTGTTGAACTCATCTAGGCCCCAGGGCTCCTTTCAAGGTGAATCATAGAAAAGTAGGGCTGGAAGGGACCTCCAGATGTCACCTAGTTCACCCTCTGCATGAAGCAAGATCATCCCCATCCAAGCCATTTTATACAAATTCATTCTCTATTAGCAAATCTACACAGTCAGCCCTGACCCAACTATGAGACATAACACACTAACCTACCCACAGGTAAAGCAGGAAGACCATGGACTCATCTCTAGTGACTGGACGAGCAATAGAGGCATTGTGCAAGCAGGACTGTGTCAGTTCAGGAAGGTACGGGGATTAATTTAGCTGTCGCTCACTCCACCACCACTGACATGAGTCCCCAACAGACCTCCACATCCTGAAATTCAGCAGTGGGCCCCATGCCCCTGGATTCCCAGGAGCCCTGCAGGCCAGATTCAAGATGCCAGCCATCTCTCTGATGCCCCCAATTTATCCCAATCCCAATCCCAATCAGATTCCAAAGCAGTTGTAATCTGTGTATAAATCACATACTGTGGCTTAAATGAAACCGCTTGAAGTAGAAGGTGGAAACTAAATGAATCAGTTAACACAGCACAACAAGGGATCTGTGTATCTTTTCTACCCAAATACATCAGGTAGACTCCTAAACATGTAGGCAGGACTTCACTTTTCAGTCTCATCCGAAAAACTGGTCACAGACTACCTTTCCACTTACGGCACACCTACTTCAGAAACAAGTAAAGAATGAGTCACCCACTCAGGATTTCACCTATGGTTCCAGGAAGACTTTGCATTTCTGTGCTGATGGTAAGATCTTTAAGACATTCAACAGTTTAAGAGTAAATTCAGTCCATGTTTGCCACTTGCCAATACGCAACTCCGTCCTACTGTAAATCTGTGGTGCCGGATGTAAAGAGACTCATACATTTAACCTTCATTTTTAGGCCCTCAGAGCTCTTTCTAATCAGAGAGAGGACTGTAACAACAATTTTCAAAACACAAAGAACTAGAGGAGGAACATATTGATGGAAAGATTATATCAAGTCACATGTCACCACAAGAAAGTTTCACTGAAACTTCTTTTACCCAAGTACAATTCATTTCCATTTTTGTGCATTAACCGATAAGGCGCTTCCTTCAGTACAACCACACTGCTGTGGCTGGAGACTCAAGAACAATAATTATAGTTCAAAGCTGTGGCTCTTTAACATACGTACACATGCTTCAAAGGAGGAGACATGTTCACTCTACTTCGTGCTGACCCTTGAGTAATACATCCTGTTTTGGATGGCACCACCAGGCAAGCAAGATATAAAGAAACTAGCTGGAGGAGAGTAACACGAAGGGCACAGCAGGATCCCTGGGGGGAGGTTGGAGGAACTGGGGTTGGGGAGTCTAGAAGAGGGCAGATGTGGGAGGGACGATAGCAACCATCCCCCCATGACTGGAGCGTGAGGAGCGAGGACAACCTTCCCCCCACACCCCCTTGAATCCCCTTTCGGGGGCCGACAATGACCCAACAGGTAAAGGACCAGCTGCCCTCCACGCCTGCTACCAGGAAGGAGGGGAAGAAACGGACTGAATCGGCAGCAAGGACGAGTTAGGTCAGATGTTATGAAAACAACGTGTGAGGAGGCAGCCCTGCAAAGGGGCCCCCGCTGGAGGGCTGCCGGACCTCAGCCCCTGGAGGGTTTCTAAGCGCAAGCCACACAACCCTCCCTGGGGGCCGGGCCGGGCAGGCTGGGGACGAAAGCGCCTGCCCACGAGAAATGCGGACGCGGCGAGGTGGCCCCTCGCTCCGCCCGCGCCTCACCTGAGCCGGACCCTGCCGTGGGTCCCCGCCCGCTGCGCCAGGTCCCTCCAGCCCTTGCCCGGCGCGGCGCGGTCCAGCAGGGCGCTGAGCCGCCGCAGCAGCGGCTCCCCGAGGCGGCCGAGGGGCAGGGACCCCGCCGGGACGCCCGGCGGCAGCGACATCGCGGCGCACCCGGCCGGAGCCCTGGGACTCCTGTGACGTCACGAGCCAGGGGCGGGGCCCGAACCCGGAAGGAACGTGGGGGGGTTGCCCGAGGTGGCCCCGACTTGTGTCCACCCCGCCCCGCCGCGTCGCAGGCGCTGGGGCAGCCCCTGGCAGCCGGCTCCTCGGGCCTAGAGCAGTGGCCTCCGGAGTGGGGTGTGCAAGACGATCCATTGGGGTGCGGGAGGAAAATATTACACCTTCTATCTGTATGCATTTTGTATCTAAAAAAATAAGAAATGAAGCTTTACTAATATTTAATGTACGGATTGACACTGGCGCCCTCGGTCCGTACGTCAGACGGTCACGTGTCACGCATGGTACGCGAGGTATCCTGAGGGAAGAGGGAGTTCCACAACGGAGGGGTTGACAGTGGCGCCCCCAATAAATATACGTATATTGGGGGTGCGTGCTCAAAAATTTTTAACTGGTAGGGCTGCACGAGCAAAAAAGTTTGGAGACCACTGGCCTAGAGCACTGGGACTGGACCAGGGAGCTCCTGCGCTGCCTTGCGATCCTTTCAAGGGTGTTCAGCCTGTCAGCGGGGGGAGCTGGGCAGATTTGATTCACAAGAGAAACCCAGAGAGATTTCAGTGCCAAAAACATTCTGCTTTTTCTTAGTGCTTTGCAACAGAATGGCACCATTACAGCAGTTCCCCATCTGTGGTACCGGTGGTCCACGTTAACAGCTTTATTATAATTACTTTATATGACAAACATTTGCTGGTGGTACTTCAGACTGAACTGAAAAAAATGCTGGTGGTACTTAAAGTTGTATCCTTTTAAATCAGTGGTGAGTTTGGGAACCGCTGCTCTGTTACTTTTCTGTAGTGGATGAAGAGCTGGCATCTTCTGAGGGCTGTCTGCAGCCTAGACTTGAAGGTTGACAGTCACTGGCCCAGACTGGTATTTAGGGGAGGAAGAGCTGTAAAACGCTGGCCATGCTCCAGAGCTGTAAAATTCGCCTAGGTTACCAACAAGGAGCAGCACCTACATGGAGACGAAGCATACAGACAGGTACAGAGGCAAGGATTTTTGTGGGTGATACATTTTACTGGACCAACTGCATGGTTGGGATAGACAAGCTTTCAAATGCAGGAGACCTGAAGAAGAAAGCACTGCATTCAAACAGAAATGCAAAACTCTAGAACTGCAGCTTCACTCCAAGACTACTACAGACATGCAAATATATTTGAAAGGTTTTTGCTGTTAGGCATATCAGAATTTTAATCTGTCAAGGAACTGTTAATAATTAATAAAATAAAAGAAATTGATGACTCATGGGGCTTGTGGTATCCCCACAGTAAAACAGAAAGGGAGTTTAGAAGCATATGTGGAAGTGAAACAACAACAGCCACTCTTGCTTTGCATAAGCCTGGAGCAAATAATAGCAATTCTTGTGCATTTTGTGATGCTAGAAATATCTAAAATGTGGAACAAGAATTTGGCCTGTAAAAAAGAAGAGAAAGGCAGAGTCATCTCAGGTACATATAAACCAGGGAAAATTAACTTTATGGTTTAGACCTGTGGTTCTCAACCTTTCTTGTATCAAGTCCCATTTGTAAATATTGATGGTCAGTCCCGACTCAGTAAACACTTTAAGTAGAAAACAACTGCCTGGCCCTGCCAGTGTCCATCACTCTCAACTCACAGCTCCCCCCCTCCTCCAGCCCTCACTCCTGACCCACTGCTCCCAGGCTTCAGCTCCCCAGTGTGTGAGGCGGGGTGTGGGGGTGCACATTTCTCCTCAGATTTGTGCACCCACAGTAGGCACAAGGCTATAGCCTGGCCAGACTGGCACTGGCAGGAGCTGCCCTGGTGGGACTCGATGTGGGAGAACAGAGTGGGATTGTGAAACTCACTGAAGCCTCCTCTGCCACCGGGGCTCCTGCAACAGCCATGGCACAAGCAATGCAAGGAGTAATGGATGACACACACGCGCGCACACAGTCACACACACCCACCCCTCTCCTCCCACCACCACCCAATCTCAGTCCAGGCCTCTGTTTTACCCAGCTGCCAGGCCCCGACCACCGCTTCTGCAGCTTCCCTCAGGCCACCCATGCTGCCCACCACCCCACTTCCCCTCTGGGGTAGGAGCCACAGCCTGAGGAGAGCCACAGTGGCAGTGGTCAGGCCATGATGGCGA